AATCAAGATTTAGAAAAACGAAGATGGTTCATTTGTGCTAGTCCACTTTGTGATTATGAAGTAGATAGAGATATAAATGCTGCTCATAATATTCTCTATAAAGCACAAACGGAGTTAGGAACTTTGTCGGCTGAGCCGATATAACTTCGTAAAATGGGAACATGACTAGTAGTTTGCTAGTTAAACCATCAGAAGCCCCCACTTCTATAAGTGGTGGGTAGTTCACTTAAAATTATTCTAAAATTAAATAATAATGAATAAAAATGACAAATGCACTATTAATTATGTTCGCCGAAGTTGGTTAGATATTTTTCAACAAAAAGGCTACCACTTACTAGAACCTGTCTCGCTCATTCCCCAAAATGATCCGTCTTTGTTATGAATTAATTCAGGGGTGGCTACTTTAAAGAAATATTTTAATAACCCAGATTTGGCTCCGGCTCGCAATTTAGTTAATTGTCAGCCAGTAATCCGCACCGATGATTTGGCTAATATTAACGCCCAATCTTATCACCAAACCCTTTTTGAAATGTTAGGTATTTTCTCCATTGGCGGCAATTTTAAAGAAAAAACCATTCCAATTATTTGAGAATGATTTACTTCTCCAAAATGATTAAATATGAATCCAAAAAATCTTTTTATTACTGTATGAGAAAACGATAAGACAAGTTTGGAAGTTTGAAAAAAACAGGGCGTAAAAGACGATCATATTCTTTTTGGGAACAAAGAAACTAATTTTTGGTCCATGGGTAATGGTCCTTGTGGGCCAAATACCGAGATTTATTTTGATTTTCATCCCGAAAAAAATGTGCCAAAAAATATTGAGGAATTGGATAATAAGCGTTTTATTGAGATTTGTAATGTTGTCTTTCCTGAGTTTTACCAAAAAGGAGAAGAATATTTACCATTAGCCGAAAAGTGTGTCGATACCGGAGCCGGATTAGAAAGAATTGCTATGGTTTTGCAAGGAAAAACAAGTACTTTTGAAATCGATTTATGAGAGCCAGTTATTAAATCGATAGAGGATTATTGTAAAACGGGAGAATATAAATTATATTAATGCCCACTCAGCAAAAAAAATCCACCAAAAAGA